CAGGGGTAGAATTTCCAGACCCAATTTTCAAAAAAACTACGTGGAAAAAAACTGATGATTTAATACCCAATTGTTTACAAACTGATGAATACAGTTTGATTTTGCGAAGTCGTGAGAATTCAGCGATCTGAAGATACCAAAGCGCAATGCATGTAGAAAGCGTTCTGTTGGATGTCGACGATCCCTTCCGCCAGCCATCTGTCCTCGTCTTCTGCTCCGTTCAACATCATTTTCTCTCCCTTCCCATCCGACACTCGATCGAAGAAATTTTTCACCATGAGTAAACAAGAAATATATGAAGTTCCCTTCTAGACGACCCTTATCATCGGAAAATTGTTTGGTTTAATACCCAATTGTTTAAAACGGACCAAAAAAACAAAAAGAACAAATTCAGTTTCCCGTGAATTTTCTTTGCAACAAATAGGCACGTAAGAGGCGCTTTGTAGGTCGTCATGCTTCCGGGTACACTATTTTGGAGCAGTCCCGGACGAAGGCACCCATTACTTGTTTGGATCTGGAAGTTACCTAGCTAAGGGAGACCAAAATGTCGCCGGAATCCGACCGGGATCTGCTGCTCTTTCGCTTCCAAAACCCAGGAGAAGTTCAAAAATGGACCAGGAAGAACGCCTAAAAATCGCCGAAGGAACCCCTTTCTTTTTTTTGGCCGTCGACTGCTCTCCTATTAAATTTATTAAAATTATCAAATCATCATTTTTTTTCCACGTAATTTTTCTGAAATAAAAGTGTTAATTCGTGGCAAGTTAACGTGCCAGCTGGGCACTTTGGTGACGGAAGGACCATTTGGGTTCTGAAAAAATAAAGTTTAAGGACGGTTTGTGTGCTTTCTGAAGTTAAAGGACGAATTAAGTTTTGAAATGAAAGTTTAGGGACCAAATTGGGTATTAAACCTTTTTTTTTTCTTTGGGTGGCTGCAGCGGGAAGAAGAAGAGCAGAATCGGGAATGGCTGGGAAGAAAAGAAAGAAACAAAAAAGAAAAAGGAAAGAAGTTGATCCTTATCCAAAACTCTTCCACTTTTAAGTCCCTCATCTTTCAGAATGTTGGTTATTAAGCCCCAAAACAATCTTTTCTCACAATCAAATCCCTAACTTACACTTAAATATTCTCAAAAATTTGGGATATTACATTATAATTGCTTACTTATATAAATGCCTTGATAGTGATAATTACATGAAAGCCTTTATATATAGGATCTAAAATACCTGAAGTATACAATTCAATACCAAAAAAGATATTTTCAACAAAATTAAGATGATATATTTGTATGAATCAAAACAATCAAGACAAACACTATAGTGTCTAAATAAAGAGTGGTCTTTCATATGAATATTAATCGTAAGGGATTATTATTATTATTATTATTATTTTTGTACAGGTAATCCATCTGAACAAAGGTAGAACCAATTAACACTAACAAATTCTAGGACGTACTACCTGTATGAAGCATATTTGGATAAATGGATACTTATTGAACCAATTTGAGTTATACCGAAATGACATCGACTAGGTTACAATTTTATCAAGCATGCGGGCATCAGGATTTGATTAAAGAAAAGCAGCTTCCTTTAATTACATGACTAAAAATCACTTTATCCTTTAATTAAAATATGTTCTAATTAATTTTTGGATTAAATGAAATAGTAGAATAACATATACTATCTTTTTTTTTTTTCAGATTTGGGCCATCAATGGGCTTCTGAAAGGCCCGCTCATTTTTTCTTAGAAAAGGGTCCGAAAGCTTTCATCTTCCCTTTTTTTTTTTTTCAACCTGAAGGACATGAGTTGGGTGGGCTATGGGCCTTTAAAGGCCCAACCCATGAGATGAAAAGGCTAAAATGGGGTTTCAGGCTCAACCCATTAAACAAAATCCATCGCCCGCCTAAGACCCGAATGGATTGACACAGATAACGTTGATGAACTTCAACTGAAGTACATCTACTCTGTATCCAGATCTGGAAATCCTAAAAAATGAGGACATGACAAGTACCCAAACAAATTCAAGGAGCCTTAAAACACAACAACCACCAACATCCCAACGGAAAATCACACAAAAATAGAGCTAAATCTAAACGTTTTATTCATAAATTTCCGAAATGCAGCACAACGAAATTTTCCTGACAAGCTTGACAAATCCAATCCAGCAAGAGAAAGAACAGGACTGATAGAAACCAATTTCGTGGGGCCAATCGCTTCCGGTGATGGGGTAATTAATTCCGGGGCAAAGCCACTAGATATTGGCCCTATGCTAACTGACACGAGAAATAAAAAGGAATTAGGGGTTTTCGTTTTAAGCGCATTTTTGGTACAGCGGTTAAAATTCAGTGGATAGCGGATAGCGAATAGCAGGTAGCAGATAACGGATAGCGGTGGCGGGTAGCAGGTGGCGGTTAGCGGATAGCGGATGGTGGATGGCGGATGGCGGATAGCGAAAGTGAGTAGCGGATGGTAAATAGCGGATTCGATAAATATAACTGTTTGGCTATACAATAGTTAATAGTTGTTGTTTAACATTAAATGACTAATAAGGACATGTTTAAAAA